GAAATAATTTGTATAAAATATTTTGAAGTATTTTTTAATAATAAACTTGTAAACTTTTTGTAATGTTAAAATTGGAAAAAAAATGTAAATCTATATACTTTTGGAATAAAATTTCATTTCTGTCTACAATTGCAGTTCTTGTTGAGTTCAATCAATTATTTTTATGAATTTCAATTTTTCCAGGAATCTTGTTTTTAAAAATTTCAAATGAGTACTGGGAACGAGAGTTTTGCTTATTCGTGCGTCGGAAAACGGTTGAGAAATTATTGGGATCAATGATTTGATAATCTTCATTCTTTTGATCATAATTTGTTTCGAGTTGAAGGGAAATAAGTGTTGCATTAGCAGCTCTAGTTGTATGTAAATTAAAAATTGCCCGCTAGATACTTTTAGATAATTTTTTTTTCTCAATCGTTCCATGCTCGGGTCGAAATAGAGCCCTTAAACGATTTTTGATCAAATTATTATTGAATGAATGATTCTAAGAAAATCTTGCTTTGAGAAATATAAGATATTGTAATATAAAAACCATCAATATAAAAACGTTTTCGGTTATTATTCTTGTAAAGGTGGTTTGACATCAGGGGCAGACTAAGGTCTAGACACTTGCCTAGGGCCCGTAATTTTTGGGGCCCAAAAATTTGATTTTAATTTTTTTAATTTCTATAGATAAATTTTGATTGGTCCTTTTTTGTTGTTGCATGGAAATAACTACTTTTTTCAATACCTTTCAGCAATTGTACGTATTTTTTAAAGTTCTGCACATATATGGATTGCTTTAATAAAAATTTTGTAAGAGCAAACACTTGAACATTAAACCAATTAGTGAGACCAGGGACTGCTCGTTCTGATGCTGTTAAAGCATTAAAGAAAAATTATAAATAAATTTTACGTCGTTTACGCAGTTTTTCTTCAGACAAGGTCCGAATCCGCCTATTTATATAAAAAATACTTGACATGTTTAAATGTGTACTGTTACTATATGAGAAAAGATTTTAAAGAGAATGAATACTTCAAACAGGACTTCAACAAAAAGAAAATTCCTAAATATAACAGTTTTATTACATATGATCCATTGTTATATTTCAAACAAACTGTTAGATGATTTTGACAATTTAGAAAAAGAAGCGGAAAAAATTAAAAATATTGCACATCTTAACGAAAAACGGCTTAAAATAGGAAAACTTTTACATGATAAAATTCTAAAAAAGGAAATAAGATTCAGTGGCAAAGAACATTTTAAAGGGAATTATGCATGGATATATCCATGGAATTATGCTATTCTCTGATTTGCGTTAGTAAAAAAACTGTTAACAACAAATTGAAAAAAAAATGTTCACGCACTGTCATGAACAAGATTTTAAACCAGTATTTAAAATATGACAATATTTTAAACTATTTTTTGTAAATAAAACATATTTATTAAGAGAATTAATTCACATTATCATTTTAAACTTCAGTGCACTTTTAATAAGTTTCGTGCACCTTGGGAAATTTGTTCCCGGTAAAAATAAAAGGTGGGAAGTTGTAGGAAAGGCTGCTCCGTGGCTGTCTGAAGTAGTTCTGACCTTCCTTGCTTCATTCGTTCATTCATTCATTCATTCGTTCGTTTCGTTCAGTGTTCGTCCAGACAGCTTGTCCTATCAACGCCAAACTCAACTGGTAAAAAAATATAATTATAATATAATAATTAGATTATTTATTTTATAATAATGTATTAATTTATTTTCTATTTTAATATTTAATTTAAATTTTTAGTTTATAATTTAATTTACATTTTAATTTTAAATGACAGGTTAGCTCAGCTCAGTGGTATTATTAAGCTTCAGCAAGTTTGTTATTCGAAATTTCAGGGAACAATTACTATTACTGTGTGCTGAAAATTAAAGTTACCTCAGTCTCAGCATCTCTGTCTATCTATCTAGCTGACATGTCTAACATTGTTAAAACTCCAACAATATTTCTTTCGCGTGCTGATGAAGAGCTTATCGCACAACATTTTGAAATTGATTCCGCTTATGTTCAACTAGCTGAACACCTTGGCTTCCAAACAGTTGAAATTCAGGTAAGTAATTTAATTTTCATTAAGTTTCTTTACTATTATTTGTGTCAGTTCATTTTATTGGGGATAACAATATAAGAATAACATCAAAAACTAAATATAATCTACTTTTGCTGAATATTAAATTAATTAAGTTATAAGTATAATTAAATTTGGAATTTACATATTTTTTAGTTTTAAAGTGTTATTAAAAGTTACATGTCTAGTTATTTAAATTGAAAGATTAAAGATAAAAGTTATCAACTTTTAAATAAATGTTTTAGTGGCTCAAATCAAGGCAGCATGAGAGAGGCAGCTGCACGTTAGGACTGCTCGAAGACATAAGAAGGAAGGGCATCTGCCTTGAAAGGTTGATGGATGCGGTCGGAAAATGTGGAGTGGTGCCTGTTTTAGATTACCTTAATAAAAGATATCCTGGTTGGTAAAATAGAGTTCAATTTAAATGTTTGTTATGATGTCCTGCATTTTTAACATACTTCCTTGTTTTGTTTTTTAGGATATAGTTCAAAAGAATCTTTTTATTTTTCAGTTAACAAGAATTTTCTTAATATAATGTCAATAATTTAATTTCCTATTGCTTATAGCAAGATTTCACATCCATTAAAATCTACCTACATAAATTTTTCATATTGTTTAAAACTTTAAACTTTTCATATTGTTTTAAAACCATGGTATTATTTATATAATTTTAAAATTATTATTTGACAGAAATTAGAAACTCATATTTGAAGAGTTTGGCAGCTTAAAATTTCTGAGAAATTAATAGAAATTAAATGATTGGAAAATAGTATTTGGATTTATTCTTTTATATTTCAATTTATTTACAATGAAAATGCAAAACATTATTTTTGATTTATTTTATAACACTGTAATCTTTGTGATTTGTATTCCAATGTTTCATTTATTAAATTTTCTTTATATTTTCTTTTGTTAACATTTTTTGTTCGGTGATGTTCTTAAAACATTTTTTGTTATTCAGAGTAATTTATATATTTTTGTTTACTTTATGAACAATTATGTTGAAATCACATTCTACTATGGATCGTAAGACTTGAGTGATGAAATAAACTGCGAATTTTCTCATTTTCCAAATATTATTGTTTGTTGTTTTCATTTTCAAACTAGAATTTGCTTATGTTAGAAATTAATGTTTTCTTATTAACAATGTGCGTAACGCATTTTATTTTGCACAAGAATTCTTGTTTAAAAGTTCATCTCATGAGGAGAAAAACAAGAATAAAATAAAAAATGTCAATTGAAGCTCAGGCAGTTATATTAGGTTGGTGCAAAAAAAATGTCGGTTTTCTACCATCCATTTTAAAATGCAATAAATTTGCTTTCATTTGATATATTTAATTAAAATAAGAACCATCACAATCTATGCACATTTGCCAACGAGAAATTGAATCATTGATGCCTGTAGCATAAAAATCAGGGGTTCTAGAGGCGACAAACTGTAAGAAGTCATTTTTTGTAGCTTCCTCGGTTTTGAAGCACTTTTCACGCAAAAGTTGTTGAGGTGTTTGAAAAAGTGGAAATCTGTTGGTGAGAGATCTGGTGAGTATGGCGGGTGAGGGAGAAACTCGTAACCCAACCCGTTCGGTTTTTTTCAGCGTTAGTTGTGCGACGTGTGGCCTGGCTTTATCGTGGAGGAGGATCGGACCCTTTCTGTTAACCAATGCAGGACGTAGTTGGCGTAATTTCTGGTGCATCTCATTAATTTGTTGGCAGTACATCTCTCCACTAATCGTTTGACCAGGTTTTAAAAAGCTATGGTGAATCAATCCAGCTGCAGACCACCAAACTGTCACCATTAACTTTCTTTGGTACAATTTTGGCTTGGGAAAGTGTTTTGGACTTTCATCATGGTCCAACCACTGAGCTGAACGTCGTCTGTTATCATATAGGATTCATTTTTCATCACACGTCACAATCCGGTCAAGAAACGGATCGTTTTTATTACGCATAACAAGTGAAGCTGACACCTCAAAACGCCGAATTTTCTGATTTTCGTTCAACTCATGTGGAACCCACTTGTCAAGTTTTTTGACTTTACCAATCTGTTTCAAATGACGAACTACTGTTGTGTGATCAACCTTGAGTTCATCGGCAACTTCTCGAGTAGTTTTAGCTGGGTTTGCGTCAATAATTTCCTTCCTTCAATCCCGGATGGTCGCCCGCGGCCCTCTTCACCTTGGAGGCTCATGTCACCAGTACGAAATTTTTTAAACCATCTTTGTGTGGTACGCTCAGAAGCACCGACGTCGCCCCATGCTTCTACAATATTACGAGTTGCTTCTGCCGCATTATGCCCGAGTTTAAACTCATAAAGCAAAATAATCCGAAAATCACGCTTAGACAACATTCTCAAATATCACTCAAAATCAAAGACACTGAATAGTTGGATCAATTAATTAATAAAGGCTAGATAGAAGAATATATAACCTTCAAAATGATATATAATGATCAATATATTCAATAAATTGTATTTAAAAATTTAGTGATGAAAAATTTATTAACATAAAATCGACATTGTATTTCATTCATTCATTTCATTCAATGATCCTCTGTAATCCCTTAAGGGACCGTTGAAGCCGATGGTATTCTTCTATCTCTCCAAAATCCTTTTCTTTCCCTCGCCATCTTCATTGAGCCCAATGTTCCAACCCCCGTCCATTCCGTGATATCATCCATCCACTTCCTCGCAGGTCTTCCAACTTTTTTCTTCTAGTCCTTCTTTCTCATCAGTACTTTTTTAATCAGTCTGTCGTCTGTCATTCTGCAGATGTGCCCAAAGATATCCAGCTTTCTTTCCTTGACACTTTCATACACAGTTTTTTGTCTTCCAAGTTGTTTTCTTATGGCATCGTTTCTTATCTTTTGTCTCCAACTGATTTTCAACAACTTTCTATAACAATGCATCTCGAATGCTTCCAGTTTGTCTTTATCTCTTTTCTTCAACGTCCAAGCCTCACATGCATACATCAATGTAGAAAACACACACGCTTCTACGATCTTTACCTTTGTTTTTGTAGATACATTACCGTTTTTCAATATTACTTTCAAAGATGCAAACATTCCTCCCGCGATTGCTATTCTTCTATCAATTTCTTTCGAACAATTATTGTCATAAGTTATGAGGCTGCCCAGATATATAAATTGGTTCACTTGTTCGAGCTTTTCTGCTCCTATCTGGAATTCATCATTTTTTCCACCTGCTTCCGAAATCATTATCTTTGTCTTACTGCTGTTGATGTGTAGTCCATGGTTTCTTCCACCATCGTACGTCAACTCGATCAGTTTCTGTAGACCCTCTGCACTAGATGCTAGCAGATCTATATCATCTGCAAACCTGAGGTCCCTTATCACTCTGCCTTCAATGTCGATTCCCTCAATATCTGCATTCTCCATTTTTTCCAAGGCTCTTTCCAACAGTGCTAAAAACAGTAATGGTGATCTTGGATCTCCTTGTCTACTTCCTTTATTCGCTTTGATCCAGTCGCCCAGCTCTGTACCTACCTTTACTGCCATTGTTGACTCCTCATAAAGCCCTTTCAGCACCCTTACCATTTTTGTTGACACTCCCATACTTTCCAAAGCTGCCCACAAACCTTCGTGCCAGACTGAATCAAACGCCTTCTTAAAATTCACAAAACAATGAAAAGTTGTTTGACCTTAGCTTCCTGCATCTTCCAACAATAGTCTCAACATCAGGATTTGCTGGACTGTACTTCTGTCCTTTCTGAAACCTGCCTGCTCCTCTCCTAAATGCTGCTCTGTCTTTCTCCAATTGTTCTTTCAAGATCGTCAGCATGATCTTGCACATATGAGGGATCAGTGCTATTGATCTGTAATTGTTGCAATCTTTCAGGTCTTTTTTTGGCAACATAATCAAGATTGATTTACACCAATCTTCTGGCCATTTTCCACTGTCCCAGATTTCTTGGCAGATTTTTTGAATCTCATTACATACAATTGGTCCTCCCGCTTTGATCAGCTCTATGGGAATTCCGTCTCTCTCTGTGCTCTTGTTGTTCCTCATTTTCTTCATTGCTTTTATTACTACCTCCAATGTTATTTCCGTTTCTTCCTCATTGACTACTTTTCTTTCTTTTAAAGCCTGTAACACCTCCTTTGTATACGTGTTTTTATCTGTGAACAGGTACTTGATATATTCCGACCATCTATCTTTGATTTGTTGGCCTTCAGTTAGAACATTTCCATCCTTGTCTTTAATAATTTTTGACGTATTCTTCAGTTTTCCTTTTAACTGTCTGACTAGCTGATACGCCTCTCTTGTTTCGTTTTGTCCAACTAGTGCTTCTACCCCTTCGCATCTATCGTTTATCCATCTTCTTTTATCTGCTCTGGCACTTTTCTTTATTTTGCAACACAGTTGTTTATATTTCATCTCATTTTTGTTGTTTTGTCTTTTTGTTGCTTTCAACTGTCTTCTTTCCTCAACGAGTTTCCAAGTTTCATCACTTATCCAGGGTTTTATTATGTTTTTCCCTACTTCGCATTTTTCGGCTGTAGTCTTAAGCACTTTCTCCAAGTTACTGACTCTTGTTTTCATATCGTACTTTGTTTTTGTATCCAATTTGTTTTCTATTACATTTCTGATGTCTTTCAACTTCTCTTTTATCATTTCTGTGCTATATTTCACTCTTTTGATATTTTCGCCTGACTTTAGTCTCTTCGTTATTTTCATCTTGACGTTGCATAACACTAGACGATGATCTGATCCAATCTCTGCACTTGGAAAAGCACGGCACTGAGTAACAAATTTCATCCATTTCTGTTCTATCAAAATCAAATCTATCATGTTCGTTGTTTTTCCATCTGGTGATTCCCATGTCCATTTTTTTGTATTTTGTGTTTTTGTATTTGTTATATACATTTTTTGGTCCTTTGAAAATTCCAGCAGTCTTTCTCCTCTATTATTTCTGTTTCCTATACCGTATTTTCCCATGACTTCTTCAAAACCAATATTGTCTCTTCCGATCTTTGCGTTCCAATCTCCGGTGATTATCTTAACATCTTTCTTTGGCAGTACATTCAATGTTTGCTCCAGTTGATCGTAGAATGCCTCGATTTCTGCATCCGAGTGATCCATTGTTGGAGCATAGGCCACTACCACATCAATGTCTCTCGGGTATCCCTTAAACCTCGCATACATCATTCTTTCATTCACTGTATTGTACTCCAACAGTGCTTTTTTTGTTTTTTCGTCAATAACCATTCCAACTTCATAGACGTGCTCCCTCTCTGTTCCAGACCATAATATCTTCCCACCTTCCATTTCTCCACCTCCTGTCCATCGGACCTCGCACAGACCAACCACATTATATCTGAATCGTTCAAGTTCTTTCTTTATCAACGCGTAAGCCCCTGTCTGCCACAATGACCTGACATTCCAAACTTCAACTGTCAACCCGGATAACGGATATTTAGAGGTACTACCGTATACGCTGGATACTGTATTCTCGATGGAGGGATTGAACAGAACATGATCGTGCTCGTCAGTTGTCAGAGCGCAATGTTTGGCTCAGCAGTGGCATTGTTTTAGGAATGACTGTGTCAGTTAAATATTTAGGGTCGACTCCCCTGATACATTTAAAAACCGTTTAACATATCTTGAAAATAACTCTCTGATAAACCGGGAGCCAGTGAAGAGCAAAAACAATTGGCTTAAAATGATCGTATTTAAGGCCAGCTGAAACCAACCTTGCAGCCCAATTTTGAACCAACTGCAGTCTAGACATTTTTTTTTATTTAATATTAACATAAGATCAATTAATAAAAAATCGCTCTATATCCATCAAATAATCTCTTCCTCCTTACCTGATTTTTTTACTCTTACTGAAACTTGGCACGAGGACTCTAACTCTCCCTCTCTTATTCTTGCTACTCCTGATGGTTACAGCTTCCTTGAACTCTCTAGACCTCCAAAAAATCTTCTATCATCTTCGCATTCTTCTTATGGAGGTATCTGTCTGTTTCATAAATCTCTATTTACTGCTTCCATTAATACTTCCTTTCACTTTTCTTCTTTTGAATGTCTTGCTGTATCTCTTAAGTCTTCTTCTCTATCTTTCTATATTGCTGTAATCTATCGCCCTCCTTCTTCTTCTCTCACTTTATTTTTAGATGAATTCTACTCACTCACTGAATCTCTCTACTCTTTTTCTATTCCTTTCTACATCTCTGGTGATTTTAACTTGCACTTCAATAATTTATCATGTTCTTACACTTGTAGGTTTAATGATATTTTGTCTCTTTTTAACTTAACTCAATAT